TTGAACGGTTTGCTTGTTTTTTAAGAAAGGGTTCTGTGTAGTTCAGGCTATCTTAACTCACTGGCCTAAGATGACCTTGAAATCATGGCAGTTTTCCTGCCTAATAAATGAGAGAGGTTTAGAAAATTGTACCTGGTAGGGCGAAGATTCCACACAGATTCCAGAAAAGCAAGTTACCCCTGGCTTAAGATGCTAAGAATGCTGAGTTAAGATTGAAGGGTAAGACTGATTGGAAGAAGTAAGCAGGGACCTGGCCCAGGCCCTCCCACACCTATTACTGGGTATCAAATCTAGGATCTTGCAGTAAGCTACAGCCTCTAGACTTTTTTTATTTTTTGAGACAAGGTCTCACTATGTAGTTTAGACTGGTCTTGAACTCATTATGTAGCCGAGGCAGGCCTCAAACTTGTAGAGATCCTCTTGCCTCAGTCTCCTGAGTGGTGGGATTCCAGGCACTATGCCTAGCCAACACAGTGCTTTTTTTTTTTTTTTTTTTTTTTTTTTGAGACAGGATCTTACTAAATTGCCCTGGCTGGCTTTGAAGTTGGGATACTCTTGGCTTAGCCTTCAGAGTAACTGAAGTTACAGTAGAGATCAGATCTTTGTAGGACTTGTTTACTGTTTTGAGGTGTCTGTGTTTTATTCTTTCATCAAACACTGTCAAAGGTTTTTGGTGTAGTAATAATGGAACTACATTATTAGATACATACGTAATTTAGATCATTTGTGCCACAGCGTGGGAGTGGGTTGGAGGAGGCAATCTGGAAGCTGTAGTGGCAGAGCTGTGGTGGAAGTAGATGGGTTTGAGGCAGTTTAAGAGATTGAGGATACAGTTTGAGGATACAGTTTAAGAGATTGACTGTGGCTAGTGAGTCAAGGGTGACTCCATGGTTTCTGGAGTTAATGTCTCAAATCTAGAATTATTAAGTTAATAAGAATAATAAAAGCTACCACAGATGCCTTTGAGAAGCAAGTATAAGCAAAGCATTGCTGGTAGCATGATGGATTTCTCTATCTACAGGCAGGACAAGCTGTAATATTGTTTTGTTTTTCAAATCCATTTTATTTCAAAGAGAAAAAAAATTAAAATTTCAAAACACATCAATCAGGGGAAACAAAGGTACATACATTGCATATTGTCATCCCCAAATCATTCACCCTGAGCACAAGACATCTGCATTCAGATGTCTTTTGACTAATTTCACTTTGGGGACTGTGACTCAAAAATGGTTGTACATTTTTTTTAATGGCCATAAAGTTTTTGTACTACTGCACAAAAATATTTAACATTACTGTTACTTATTACAGAAAAAATGGAAGCAACCTAAATTTCATAACCAGAGGACTAGTTAAGCAGTTTAAAAATAGATCAATAGGGTATAAGTTCTTTGTAGCCTTTAAAAAAGAAGAAATTTACTTCCTGTACAAAATTGTTTATACATGTAATTTATGAGAATGTGAAAAGCTGAAGTTAGACTAGTTGGTAATTTAACTTAGTTGGATACTTTGCAGTAGGCATATACTTATATAAGATGGTGATTTAATAGGTTCCAGACACTCATCACTGACCTGACCTCCTCTGCTCAAACCAGGCAATTTAAGAATAGAAGAGGAAAGAGGAGGAGAATTAGATCTAGTCATAGGGCAGAAGACTATTAGAAAAGTTGTATTTTAGAGGAAGAATGTGGGACCAAGCATGGTCTTGACTCTACCTAGCTGATCCCAGAAACAGGCAGGTTAAAATTCACTTATTTTAGATGAGTGTGGTAGTACACACCTGTAATGCCCAGCACCTGAAGACTCAGGCAGAAGGATCATGAGTTTGAGGTCAGCCTGGGCTAGATAGTGAGCTCTGTCTCAAATATAATTTTTTTGGTATTGGGAATCAAACTCAGGACCTCATGCTTGTCAGGCAGGTGCTGTGCCACTGAGCCATATCCCTGGCCCCATTTTTTTTTTTTTAAAGTGCTTGCTTTGCATTTAATTTAGAGTTAAGTTGTAGTTAGCTGATCTTAATTTGGTATTTGATTAAAAGTTTATAAATTAAGAAGAAATGGATTCATATCACATGGGGACATGGTTCAGTGGAAGAGAACACATTTAGCATGTATTAGGCCCTGGGTTTAAATCCTCATGCCCCCACCCCATGTTGAAGAAAGATTGACATTTGGGAGAAAAAAACAAAATCTCTTGAATTCCTGCTTGATGTGGTGGATTATGCCTATAATACCAGTACTGGGGAGGCTGAGTGTGACATTTGCCACAAGTTCAAGCCCAGCATGGGCTACACAGTAAAACCCTGTCTCAGAAAACCAAAATAATAATAATAAGCCCTTCTAATTACTAAAGAAAATTAATTTGGGCAGTCTCAGAAAATGTAGACATTTCAGCTGGTTAATTGATACATTTAACAGTATACATCCAGAATGGGCCATTAGAGAAAATATCTGGACTCTGAGTTAGTCATGGAATTTTCTTAGATGGAAATTAATTTGGGGGGGTCATGAGAAGGGGGGTCTTACAATATTATTCAGGTTGGTCTTGAGTGAGTGGGCTGTCATTCTCAGTAAATGAAATGATTTTTATCTGGAGCATTGACAGAGAAAAATGAACTATAAATGCAGTAGTTTTGATATAGGGTATGAAGGTAAAGGAAAAACAGCCTCTAAATTTGATTTCCAGAGTATTCGTTGAAGGTGCGTTGATTAAATTAGATTAAAATGAAGAGCTGATGGTAGGAGAAGGGAGCAAGTTTCTGAAAGCTCTTAGTCAACTATTTGTGTTTTTCTTCCCATTTAGTTTTTTGAAACAGAGTCTCATTGTGTAGTTTGGGCTGACCTTGCGTTCAATATGCAGCCCAGGCCGCTCTTAAACTTGTGAGGATCCTCCTTTCTCAGCCTCTTTGAGCACTGGGACTAGAAACATGTGCCTCCATGCCTGGCTCTTAGTCAGGTATGACTAGTTGGTTTATTGGGCAGTAGAAAGAATGTAAGAGTGGTATAAGTCAGCCATCCATTTAGACTATATTAGCTGAATATGAACCTTGCAGAGAACAAATTAGAGATAAAGAGCCCTAATGAAGGGGAGGTGAGTTTGGGATGGTGACATACACCTGTAGTCCCAGCACTTGGGAAGTTGAGGCAGGAGGATCACATGAGTTCGAGGCCAGTCTGGACTGCGTTGTGGGTCCCTGGCTTTATTTTTTTTATTTAATTAATTTATTCATTTTGAGACAGGGTCTTGTCATGTAGTTCAGGCTGGCCTTGAACTTACTGTGTAACCCAAACTGGCCTTTGAGTGCTGGTATTATAGGTGTGGCCACATGCCTGGCCTTGCTTTTGAATTACATGAATGAATGAATGGCTGGGAGGTGGTTGGTCATTGGTACTAGGGCAGTGTTTCTGACAGTGACATTGGAGATACCACAAATGAGAACGAAAGATTTGGCAGTGGTTTGCATGGAAGTGTCTGAGGGGGCACCTCTGGATTTATGGAGAAGACCATGAGCAGATCTCTTACAGAGCTGTTTCATGCTATTTGGTCCACATGGTACAACAGCCTTGCCAGTATCATTATGTACATTTTCTAGATAAGAAAAGTAAGGCTCGAGAGTATTACACAGTGGTTTTTAGTTCTGGCTGCCTATTAAAAACATGTGGGAAGCCAGGCCTGGTGATGCATGCTTGTAATCCCAGCTGCTCCTGAGGCTAAAACAAGAAAATTGCACATTTGAGACCAGCCTAATGTTATCTATCAGTTTGTCTGTCTGTCTATCCATCTTTCGTACCTTTTGGGGGCAGGGTCTCGATACACAGTTCAAGCTGGCAGTGCGCTCACTTTCTAACACAGACTGGTTTTGAATTTGTTTCAGCCTCCCGAGTGCTGGGATTACAGGAGTATGCCACCATACCTGTCTATAAATAATTGTGTAGCTGTTCAGAGGCTCATTTTTTTTTTTCAGATGCTCCCCAGGTGATCCTAACCGGTAGCCAGGGTTGAGAACCATACAATTAAATGTCTGCCAGGAAGTGACAGAGGCAGAACTTGAAACCTGATCTTTTGTTTCTGAATTTCAAATTTTTCTGCCATCCTACAAACCTCCCTTTCTCCCATTTTCTTCTCATATTGCATCTCCTACTTTTCATACTTCATTCTAGAGAGTCATAAGAACCTCGTACTGGATGTGAGGGTTGTGGTGGTAGTGTTAGTGCATGGTCTGGTTTTCATCTGTTGTTCTTTGCCCAGTTTCTGGAGAACTAGGAGCTGGTAGTAATCACCTCTCTGCCTTTACAAATGTTACTAAGAGGTTTGTTCTGGCCTCATCTTCCCACTATCCCTAACTTCTATCCTTCAAGCTTTAGCAAAGACATCTGACCAGGCACAGCGACACATGTCTGTGATCACTGCTACTTGAAAGTCTGAGGCAGGAGGAAAAAGAGATTGAGAGCAGCCTGGCGGTTTAGTGAAACTGCATGTCAAAATTTAAATTGGGTATGGTGGCACATGCGTGTATTCTCAGCACCCGGGAAGCTGAGGCAGGAGGATCATCATGAGTACAGGACCAGCCTGGTATACATAGGGAGACCTTGCCTGAAAAACAAAAATGAGGGGGGAAAAAAAGGGTTCCCCAACAACTCACCATTCCATCAGTTTGTTTCTTTTTTTTTGCATTGCTGGAGTTTGAATGTCAGGCCTTTTGCATACGAGGCAATGACTCTGCAACTGAGCTACATCCCAGCCTTACATCAGAAATGTTTTCTTCATCAGATTATTAGCTACAGTTAGCCAGAGGCCAAATCCTCTAGTTATATCTCCTGGTGCCTAGCAGATCTTTCAGTAAGTGGCTACTATGTAATGCAGACCTAAGAAGTTGCAAACTTGTGTCCAACCCCATTTCCAAAGTAGGTATCCCTTGTTGCATCTTTGTGAAACTTGCCACCCTACATACTATCTTTACTGCCTGTCGTTTCCACTGTCTTGTCTCTTTTCTTATACCTAAGGTAATTGCTGGCTTTAACCGCCTTCGGCAAGAACAGCGGGGCCTAGCATCTAAAGCAGCTGAGCTGGAGATGGAATTGAATGAGCACAGGTGAGAAGATCAGAGTAGAAGAGGTGGGCAGGCTGTTTAGTAACAGGGGTGCAGTAGAGTGGGAGTGAAATCTGAAGTCCTGCCTTGCCCTACTCCAGCCTAGTGATTGACACACTGAAGGAGGTAGATGAGACTCGCAAGTGCTTCCGCATGGTTGGAGGTGTGCTGGTGGAGCGGACTGTCAAAGAGGTGCTGCCTGCCTTGGAGAATAACAAGGAGCAGGTAAGTGAGCAAGAATCCCAAGTAGAAATTTTGGGCAACCAAGGGATAATGAAGGGGAGCCCAGGGACCTAGGGAATGTGGCAGGGAGTCTGGGTAGAAACGCATATTGGGGGCTGGGGATTTAGCTCAGTGGCATAAGCACCTGCCTTGCAAGTGTGCGGTCGTGAGTTCGATCCCCAGTACCTATAAGAAAAAGAAAAAGAAAAAGAAAAAAAAAAAAAGAAAAAGAAAAGAAACTCATATTGAAGGTAGTAGCCTGTGTTATTTGCACTCTGCTAAATCCAGCTGCTTAGATGAGGAATTGCTAGCTGTACCCTTCCTCATTGGCTCTTTGATGTAGTTGAATTGAGCAGAGTTAGAGCAGTGTGGTCCAGATATATCTATGTCAAAATCACCTGAAGAATTAGTTTATAATAGAGTTTCCTTGGACTCATTGATTAAAGCCTTGGGACTGCTATAAGTAACATTTTAAGTTCTTGTATTAAAATGTATAACCACTGTGTTTGAGAAAGGAATCATTTTTGTGTCTGAGCTAGGTGTAGAAGAGTCATCTCTTTGACTTTCCCTTACCATACATTCCAGAAGGGAGAGGAGAAGCCTGAGAGGCAGCTCCACTGCCCAGCTACTTCTAGTTCATTTGCCCTGCAGATACAGAAAATCATCGAGACGCTGACCCAGCAGCTTCAGGCAAAGGGAAAAGAACTCAATGAATTCCGGGAAAAGCACAACATTCGTCTCATGGGAGAAGATGAGAAGCCAGCAGCCAAGGAAAATTCGGAAGGGGCTGGGGCTAAGGCCAGCTCAGCTGGAGTGTTGGTCTCTTAGGGATCAGGCCTCTGCATTTTTTCTACCCTGACTCCCACTTCTGATTTCTCTTTATTATTATTATTATTATTTTCTCTGCTATTGTAATATTTTTTTGTTGTTAATTAAATGTTTTGGTCAGAATGCTTAGCTGTAGCCTGAAACTTTATTCCAGTTTAAGGGCAAGGACAGCATATGATTTGTGGTTTTTGTTACCATCAATCAGGTCAATAGTTTTTTTTTTTTTCCTTTTTTCCAGTACCGGGGATTGAACTCATGACCACCTTCTTGCAAGGCAGGTGCTTATGCCGCTGAGCTAAATCCCCAGCCCCTGGTCAGTAGTTTAGAGTATCACAAAGGACCTATACTTTGTCCTTTCCCTTGCAGATAAAGATGTTTCTATATATTGTCCCCACCCCAAAGAAAAGGATTCAGAGACAAATACTAACTCTCACATTGAATTTAATAAACCTTTGAAGCGAGGCAGACAGCTCTGATGGTAGTGCTTTGTGGCACTGTTGCTAGACAGAGAGATCCAGGGTGTAGACCTGTGGGCATGCTGTCCTGCCATCTTCACCAAAGCCCCCAAGCAGATAAAGCTGATCATTCCAGAGGCAGGTGCGATGGCCCACACGTTTCAGCCCACGGTCTGCACAGGGGAAGTGGAACCACAGGGAAGGAGATTTGCCTGTTGAGTAGGGGCAGAGGATGGTTATTGAGGCAATAACCCGTGAAAACTTAACCAAATGCTTGCCCATTATATTTCTCTTCACTTGGTTTGTGGGCATTTTGAAATGTTTTATTATTTTATGTACTCCTTTAACTCTTGTTAGTTCTTCCTACCACTCAGTTATTCAGCATCCTTTTTTTTGAAGTCTTTTGGTTCTGTGCCACCCCACCCCCAGCCCCACAAGCCACCTGCCATGCTCACGGCTCTCACGAGTATCATAGATGTAGAGGTCATTGCAGATCTTGTCTCTAGCTCTGGTCAGACTTTCTCCACCAAACAGCACAGCAAAGGGCCCCACCACAGAACAGGAGTGATGCCGCAGTCCCCGGGGCCCCTGTCGGGACCCCTGTTTACTGCTTACAAGCCTTGCAAGCTGTTCCGTCAACTGAGGGGCAACAGGTGGCTGCTCCTTGGGGAGAAAGAAGGGACTGTCTGAAGGAACTTGGGCATCACAATTTTAGCCCTTTTCATCTTAAGATTTGAATAGATAATACCTTAATCTTCCCATGAGTCCACTGCCCAGCTACTTCTAGTTCAGCTGAATTGCAGCCCCCAAAGAGCAAAAGCTGATGACCTGGGTGGAGCCCGGGAGTTTGCAGCAGGGCAGCACAGTGACCTGAGCGAGAGGCCGTGTGGCAGCCTTCTTCCTTGTAGCTGTGGATATGCAGAAATGCAGGCCTGAATGGGGCTTTCCCCCCAATTCCTCTTGTCAAGGATAGAAAGGAGGCCCGGAGTGGACCCCTGGGAAGGTTATATTGGAGAGCTCTGCTGCTTTAGATATGGCAGATCTGGGAAAGCCAGTGAGGAAGTGAGTTTGTGGCTAACTTAACTTGCCCGAGGCTTTTCTTGAGCCTTTTTTTTTTTTTTTTTTTTTTGTCTTTTTCGTTTTTATGGGTACCAGGGATCGAACTCACTTTCAAGGCAGGCGCTTATGCCGCTGAGGTAAATCCCCAGCCCCTTTAGAGTTTGGATAGAGAGGGTTTGAGGTTTGGTGGGAGGGGTGCCATACCAATAGGTTCGGGCGCCAGGGTCCAGCTTTAACTTGTAGAGGCTTCCGTAGCGTCGCTGAGTGCGAACCCCGCCCTCTCGGCCGGCTACCCACAGCTCTCGGTCAGAGAGACGAGTGCACGTGTGACTGCTCAGACCAGCTGGGGGGCAGTTGTCAGGGGCCGCTTTCCATTCTTCCCACGCTCCACGCTCCGTGTCCAGCACGACCACGGTAGCCAGGCGCCGCGAACCGTCCCAGCCACCCACGATGCAGAGCCAACGGCCGCCCAAGGATGTTGCGTCGTGGTGACTGCGCGGGGCACTCCCCTGGGCGCCCAAGCGCACGGCTTGGGCGTCCGCCGGGTCGAAGAGCACCGTGTCACTGCTGGGCACTGTCGTTCCACCTGCTAGGAGCCCCCCCACCAGATAGAACCGACCGCCCAGTTCGGTGCATGAATGAAAGGCCCGAGCCAGAAGCGCATCGCGTGCCACTGGCCGCCAGGTCCAGCCCGAGCCCCCAGCCCGAACCCCAGGCGCCGTAGCCGCCATAGGCCCGGGAGCGGAGCGAGGGCAGGTGGCACCCCCACTTAGACACACCAGGGTAGATCCAGACACCGCCCCGCACTCCACCGTTGCTCAGCAACCCTGCAGCCGCAGCGCGACTGCTGCAAACCGAAGTCGCAAAGTGGCGCTAGGGGGTGGGACCACGATGTTGCCCTGACGACCGGATAAGCCCGTGATCTGCGAGCATCCTGAAAGACTGTTAACCTCAGAAATTCAGGGAGCAAACAGTTTTTGAAGAACACCTGTAGCCGAAGCTGCGAACTGATTTGGGATTAGGATACTAGCGAGGCAGATGTTGCTCCGTGGCAGGAGCCGAATCCTCCCAGCGCCAGGATTTCTAACTCGCACTCGCTTTCCTGAGCGGAGAAAGGAAAGAAGTCAGAGACTGAAGAAGTGAAAGTGGAGTCGGGAGACTTGGGCTGAGGTCCAAACTATTTCCCCTGACTCTCTAGGCCTCCTCAGTGCTCTCCTTTATAAAATGTACTGTTGGTTTATCCAGTAGGTATCTAGCACCTTCTGCTGTAAAGCGTGGGAGAGGCCTCTCATTAGTTCTGGCCACTAGAGGGTAGTAGAACCCAGTTTCTCAGAGTCATACACACACACATATACACACACATACACACACACACAGAATGGAGTTAGAGGATGAAAGTAGGAATAGAATATATGTGCATGCCCGCTGGTGTGCTTCGTTGAGTGGATTCAGAAGGAAAAATACTTGAGGCTTGGTCAGCTTCTCTCTACAGTGTCCTAGTAAGAGGAATTATTTCATCTTGCTTCATCAGGCTCATACAATACAAGGAAACTGAGGCACCGTGGCACCTGGAATTTAGGATTAACGACAGGGAGTTTTTCCTGATAAGATCCACAGCAGAAGCTGCCCAACCTTAGAAGCTGGGTGGGGGTGAAATGGGGGAGGAGTGAGAAAAACAGACTCTGCCCCTCCCTGATACCTGCCTTTTGTTCAACCAGCTCCCTGAACTTAACTCTCCCTCCAGGACCCAGTAAAGAGTATCAAAGCCCAGATCCAAGCTGACTCAATTAAACCGCTGGAAGAAATGCAGATTTACTCGTGGCCCAGCAGTGGTGGCACAGAAATAGGGTTTGTGGCCCCTGTCTGGCTGGATTATTGGGAATGATGGCTGCCACTTTTGCCTTTGGCTTCCATACATCAACTTGGTCTCTATTATGCCTGAGAATTGAGGCTGAAGAGAAAGGCCAAGGCTTCAGTGGAAGTGGGCATGTGATTCAGGGGGCCAGCAGCTTAGCAGGCTTTTTGTTCCTGACCCCAGCTTTTGGTTGTCAGAGAGCACAGTATGGGAAGGGTACAGGCAGGAAGGCACAATTAAACCAGAAGGTTACCAGAAACTGGTACCCACCTGTATCTTACAGCTGAGAGCCATCATTGCTTTGAGATACTCTGCCTACCCAGCTATACTTTTCCTAGACAGGTGGGATCCTTGGTTTTCCAAGGCTATGATCAAAATCTCTCTCTTTCTTTTTGTCTTTTTCCTTTTTATCAGTACCAGGGATCGAACTCACGACTGCCTGCTTGCAAGGCAGGCGCTTATGCCGCTGAGCTAAATCCCCAGCCCGATAAAAATCTCTTAAAGATGCAAATTAACTAACTTCTAATATCCTTGACAGAAATCTGAAAGTCAGGGCTGGGGATGTGGCTCAGTGTTGAAGTGCTTGCCTTGCACACATAAGGCCCTGGGTTCATTCCCCAGCACCATACATACCCAAAAAATCTGAAAGCCCATTTTCTTCCTAAGACTCCTCACTGGCTCGCCTCCCAATGGCTGGAGCCAGATCTAACACACTCCAAAGGTTAGGCAAGGAGCTAAGGGGGAAAGTCACTTGGCTTCAACTTGATTGGCCTATGTGCCCATTTTAGGCTTTTGCTTTTGCCTGTCTTTGGTTATTCTACCCAAGTCTTATTTCCTACCTTTTGGGAGAAATAGGAACTCTTTACCCCAGTGGGCTTTTTAGCTTTTCTCTCCCAGTTTTGTTTTCCTTTTCTTCCCAGCTTCCACCGTGACTCAGAGTCCTTGGCAGTAGGCATATCACTTGGACATGGAGCCTGAACCTCCTATATTCTTTGGGGGTACCCCCTCCAGTTCTGTGTCTCTTCCAGGCCCACGTAGTAGAGACAGGTGACTATTGCTGCACCAGTGCTAGACCCAGGGAGAAAAGCAACCCAGAACTTTTACCTCCTCTGGCCAGTTTGAACCAAAGCCATATATATATTGGAGGAGTCAGAAAAGAAAACAGAATGTGGAGAGGTGGGGATAGGGGAGAAAATCAGCCAATCTGCCCTTGTGTGACATATACTTTACATCCTAGGACAGCATCTGCAGTGGTATATAATGACCTGCTGATGTGAAAGTTGAAAGGGAATGTGGGGTGAAGGGCTCCTGGTTCTTTGTGGCTGTGTCATCAGCATGCAAGCTAGGTGCTTGGAGACTAGAGTGTGAGAACCTCCAGAGTACTAGTGTCATCTAGGCTGGGCCCTGGGAGCCGCTTCCATAGGGCCCCAAAACGTTGCTCTTTCTGTAACTGGGTGTGGGGATGGGGTCAATGAAGAGGATGATCCAGGTCTTCTCCAAAATCCATTTTATTACCAGATTCTTAGGATCTTTCTCCTGCCCCCTCCTCATTGCAGCAGTACAAGATTAAACTCAGAGCCTTCATATTGAGCTACACACCCAGCCTTTTTTACTTTTTAAATTTTGAGACAGAGTATTGCTAAGTTGCTAACTTGCCCTGGCTGATCTTGAACTTGCAACCCTCCGGCTTCCTAGAGTTCTGGGACAAGTATACGTCACTACACTTGGCTTCCAAGAGCCTTCTAAAAGTGCCAGCCCATCCAGAGACACAGAGTGAAATAATGAACCATTTGTCTCTCAGTGCACTGCTTTGCTCCCTGCCTCTGTGGGAATGTGTTCACAGAACCTAGGTGAGAGCAAGGAGGTGGGACTTTGCACCTATTGAGAAGCAGGGCCCAACTGCACCTTGTCTCACATGTGACTTCTTTTCACTCTGGCTTAGGCCCCCTGAGGTTGGGGAGATGCTGTGAGGCAACCAGAAATGTGGCTTTGGTAAAGGATGGTGCTGGGTATCAGGGAACCAGTAGATAAGAGCAACACAGCACATGGCAATGTTTAGATGAAAAATCCTGAAGAGTATGATGTTACCATCTCAGTACTGCACAGTGAAGCTGGCCCTCGAGAGGAATGAAGGTAATTGTCAGCAGAGAAGAAGCAGCAGCGTCCCTGCATCCTGCATAGGTCTCTTACCATGCCTCCAGGGCGGGAGGTGTCCCCTGGAGCAGCAGGAGGCACGAATTTGTTGCTGCTCCCTGCAGTAACTTCTGTCCTGGGATGGAATCAAGTCCTGTGTCAGTAATCTTCCATCGCATCAATCAGCTCTTCAGTGTCTTTCTGTACAGACTGTTTGGAGCCAAGGCAAAGAGCAAATCAGGAATAGTTTACTCTGTCAAGAGACCACGCCATGCAGAAATGGACTGCAAACATTGAATTCGCATTCATTTTCCACCTACGTGCATTCTCATTTATTATTCACTCTTCCTCCCAAACCTCAAGGGTCTCCCCACCAGCCTCTGACTCTTACTTGACTGGGATTTCCCTGGACAAACAGGATGTCACTCATCCAGGAGCTCTCTGGTCTACCTCATCCTCCTCACACCCCACCCCAGCCCTTCCACTTTGACCCACTCTCACCCTCCCTGATCATTCAATCCGACCCTCACTCTCACTCTTCACCCACACCCCACCCCACCCATCCTTGTCCCTCCCTGACTCACCTCAGGTCCCACTGACACAAACAGAAATTTCTGCACAACCCACTCCAACCGGTTTGGCTTAGGTGTACAACTTGTCATGGGGACAGAGGCAGGTTCAAGCGGATGCTGGGACATACAATACACAGTTAGTGAACATCCACAGTTACACACACAGCCAGCTCTGGGGATGCATATGACATGCATCCACAGAGACACACAGAAGGCACATGATGTTGGAGAGAATGTGTTATAGATGTTTATGTGCCTGTCTTCTTCTGGCTGGGGACTCCCTGGGTGCACAACTGTCTGTTGTATGTCTCTGTCGCCTCTTTGAGCCTGACACTAAGAGGTACTCAATGTCTGTTGAAAGCTGGTGGTGTGGTTCAGACAGAGAATGCTTCCTGAGCATGCAGGAAGCTCTGGGTTTAATCCCCAGCACAGCAAAAGAAAACAAAATCTGTTGAATGAATGTATGCACACAGGCATACAAGCAGTAATGCCACACAGACACATACACGTGCTAAAGATGCCACCATGGCTTGAATTGCCCCAATTCTTCAGGCTCAGAATGTGGGTGGGAGGAGGGTAAGTGTTGAGTGGCATGAGGGAATGGAGAGTCAGTGTGGAAGAGAAACTCACAAGGCACTGATTTTGAAAATCTTAGGGAGGCATTTTCTCCCAGCCCCTGTCCTGGAACAGGACTTCCCCAAGCTTTATCCCAGAAGTGGGTAAGAAAGGCCTAAGTATGAGGCATAATCCCCAGGAGTGTGGCCCTTGTGAGACTTGGTTCAGGTTTGCGGGTATAAGGGGATAGAGGGACAGGGACATATGTCTGAGAAGAGGAGAGAGGGCTCACTCAAGGCCTGGGTGGTAGCCAGACTCCCGTGTCCTGCTTAGCCTTGATTTCACAGCTGCCTCTGGTGTTTACCGATGAGGACCTGGGTATGGGTCTCACCCTAACTCTCCCTGTGGGAAGTTCTTCCTTCAGTGCACTATATGGCTGGGGTTGGGGTGAGTGACAGAGGGGTCCCTCTGCGGGCTCAGAGATGTCCAGACTGGTGGCACTTTGGAAGAAGGGACACACTGAATGGAAAGGCTGCAGGAGACCGTGTAGCCAGCTTGTGATCTAACTGCTTTCCCAGCCCCATGCCTCAGTTTCTCCTATAGTTTCCTGTACCTGGAGGGGGGAATCCGTGGGAAGGAAAAGAGCTCCTCTGAAAGCAGGTGATAGGATCCAAGGTGTGATAATTATAATTATACTGCAGGATGCTCATCCTCCCCTTCCTCCCGGCCCTACCCTACCCCGATGCACTGGATCTCAAAGCAGCATCGGGGTGGGGTTGTCCCCCTGGCATAGGTGGAGACCAGAGTTCTGAAGAGGGGAAGGGGTTTGCCAAGGTGGAGGTGGAGAGAAACTGGGGAGTACTGGCTTTCAGCCTGCAGAAAACAGTCCTCAAAGAAGAGAGGACTGCAGGACTTCCACTGCAGAGAGTTGTGACCTAAAGCCAGAGATGGTGTCACAGCCCAGAGGCAGGGTTGACATCCAGATCTCAACCCAGTTTGAGATAGTAACTCATGTTCCTTCACCACCTTCTCCATACTACTGGTCATTTATTCAGCAATGCAGTCGATTGACAAAAGTGCACTCAGTGCCCATTAGGTGCTACAAACTACCCAAGCATCCACGCCTGAGATGTGATTGTAAAACAAGCCTGACTTTCCAGGAGTTCACAGACTGCAACTTTCCTCCTGGCCCTTAGTGTAACATATTTACAAAGCCCTGGCACTCAGCAGGCTTCAATCATTGTTCCTTGAATTAAAGCTTACAATTTAGTTAAGGAGATAAGATGTGCACAAATTATGAGTACATAAGCTATAATAAAGGGACGAGCAAAGGCTGAGGGCGAATAGAACAGAGAAAGATTAATTTGGGGGTGGGAGGAGCTGAGAAGGCTTCATGAGAGAGATGGTATTTGAGGTCACTTTTGAGATATTAATAAAATTTGACAGGTAAGTGGCTGGAGGTGTAGAGTGGTAGAGTGCTTACATGCAATAAGGCCTTTGATTCTCTCACCATAAACAAAAATGATTTGACACATAGGGTTGGTGGGGGAGTAGAAGAAAATACTGTAAATGAAATGATTCTGCCTTACTGACAGTGTGTGTGTGTATATTACTGTACTTGGGATTGAAACCAGAGCCTTTGAGCTGAATTATATTCCCAGCTCTCCCCCCGACACCACACCACCCTACCCTCCCTTTTTTTTTTAAAACCAGGAATCAAACTTAGGGCCTTGTGCTTACCAGGCAGGTGCTGTGCTGCTCATCTAAATCCAGAGGGAAGACAAGCATCTATGTATAGGGTGAATTCCTTGCTTGGTCCCTGGCTTCTGCTCTACAGTGTAAGGGTGAGATCAGACAGGAGCGAGCATTTAGGTTCTTTTTTAGGAGTTTTTTTGGGTTTTTTTGTTTGTTTGTTTTTTGGTCTTTTTGGGACAGTGTCTTGCTATGCAGTTCAGGCCGGTCTTGAGCTCACTTTGTCCAGGCTGGTCTCAGACTTGCAAGAATCTTTAGTGCTGGGGAAAAAAATCTTTAGTGCTGGGATTATAGGTGTGCACCACTACTGCTGGCTCTCTCAGGGGTCTTTTTTTTTTTTTTTTTTTTTAGGTATGGGAAATCAAACTTATGACCTCATACTTGCCAGGCAGGCACATTGCCACTGAGCTAAATCCCTGGTCCTCTCTTAGGGGTCTTTAAACTAGTTCCTTGCCTTAGGGACACAGCTGTCTGAGCAAACCATGATCTTAAGATTTGCGTGTCCTCTGCTCAGGCATGGTAGTGCAGGCCTATAATCCCAGCATTTGGGGGGTGCTGAGGTAGAGTCACCGCGAGTTCAGTGCCAGCCTTGACTACATAGTAAGTTCAAGGGCAGTCTGAACTGCATAGTGAGACCCTGTCTCAAAACAAAACAAAAATTGTGTGTCCTGTGGAAAATCCCTTTCACTCTCAAGATCCGTTTCCCCTCTGAAGAATGCAATATATGGGCCAGCAGGCAGGAGGATCCTCCTTCGTTCTGGCCAATGTTGATCCCGTGGCTCCAAAGCTGAGTTCCTGCAGAAATTCAGGGAACTCAGCAAGGTCTCCAGCCAAGCTTCACACAAGGGCCTTGCCCCTATTTGTCCTGGCCAGGCCTGGTGCCTCCCTCTCTGAGACAGCGTGACCCTTCCTGCCCCCGCCCTTGCCGCTCCCTTCACAGCCCCTTCCACACACTCGCAGGTGAAGCCCAGAGCTGAGGATGGGATCCCACTGCCCCCACTCAGGTCCTTCCGCCTGCCCTCCCTCTCTGGCGCCCATTAGCTAGCTCAGGCCGTGGGGGCGGTGGCTGCTGAGTCTCAGTGCCAGGCCCAGCCCCCAGAGACGCACCTGTTCTGACCTGCTGAGCAGGTTCCCAGGTTTCTGCCGTCGTTGTTGGCCACGGCGTGGGAAGCAGCTCTGGGGGAGCTCGGAGCTCCGATCACGGCTTCTGGGGGTAGCCACGGCTGGGTGGGTAGAATAGGGCTGGGTCCCCTAGCAGAGACCCAAGTGGGATAGACAGATACGTCAGCATCCAGGCAATCCACGGCCTCCTGTTTTCTGGGTCGTGCCTCATCCAGCTCTAGAACCGGCTCCCAGGGAGAACTCGGTGGAACTTCAGAAACGCTGGGCAGGTTTCCTTCCAGCCAATGGCCCTGTCCCTGGGAGCCGAGATGTGGGGGCCTGAAGCCTGGCTGCTGTTGCTGCTGCTCCTGGCATCATTCACAGGTAGGACGTGCCTGAACCATCAGGACCCCAGCTTTCTGCGCTCAGCCTGGCACAGACACGCACACACAAATCCATAAACATGCACGCACTCACGCACGCACAAAAGAACATTCTTTTTCCCGGATTCTGGATGGAAGAGCCAATGTCTCTCATCCCAAGTGCCAGCAGTGCCCTCAGAGCAGCCGGTTGTATTTCTTCCCCTTCAGGTCCCCTCTTGACCCCCAAGCAGGTTATCATGTCTGGGGTCCTTGACCTCCTTTGCCAAAGCTTGAGCTGGTGGAAGTGGGAGTAGATGTAGATATGGTGACCCAGGGTAAGTGGGCAAGGGGGTGGAACTGGTGAGGACCCTGTTCACCCCAGACCCCCCTAGAGGTGCCTTGGCCTGTGCCAGGGCTCGCAAACTGCAGTTGAGAGCAGGGGCTGACTCAGGGCTGAGCTGGCCTCCATAGTCATTGAGGCAGGAAGCTTGATGTCCAGGGAGCAGATGGGGCATTTCTTTTTCTGTAGTAGGAATGTACTGGGACCTTTTTCCGTAGTGGGACCTTGCACTTGCCAGGCAGCCTCTGTGCTACTGATCTACATCTCTGGCTGATGGGGCTTTTGTTTCTCCTCTTCATTTTAGGGTTATCTAGGGTATCAGGACTGGGGTGCCTGCTGATGACTATGGGAAAGTTGAACACACTTTTGTAGCCCTTCTCCTTCCCTGAGCACATACACCGTTAGGTGCCAGGGCAGCTGTATAGAGGGCTGAAGGTCTGGGGTAGGGGGCTTCCTGGACAGGGTGTGGTCCCTTTTGTTCATCCCTTGTCCCTCATTTCCTCAGTTAGATGCCTGTATTTCTCTGTACTTCCTGCTTGTCTAATGTAAGTGGAGCAGACACAAATGACAGGAACGTGTACCCTTCAGAGTAGGGGTCTCTGAGGGTTTGTGTCAATGTGCATGGTGAGGCCATAGAGGGATGCTGTATGCTATTCATAGAGTAATGAATAACAGAATCTTTGTCATTGGAAAACTGGGGCCTGTGTGGACAGGATCCTCAGTCTCCAAAGAAGGAGAGAAGGAGCTTCAGTTGTTCAGCGGGCCCTGACCATGACTCCCCCACCCCCAAGCCCAAATGAAGCTGTTAGGAAGAGAACAAAGCCTGGGTACCCATTGGCAGGGTTGAGGGCTGCTCACTCTAGTCTCACAATGGGAAGATCACTGACCCAGCCTCCAATCTCAGGATCTGGAGACCCATCCCCTGCCATATCTATTTGCCATTGCCCTATGTCTTAATTTCCATCTTCCAAGCAACCCTTCTCTCTAGTTTGGGCCAAGAAGATGGGGCTTGTTGCCGGGGCCAAAGAACCCAGCAGTCACTCTTCCTGTAGGGTCTACCCACACCTGCCGAATGGAGTCTTGTCTCAGGACTTGGAAGGGATCAAAGAGATCACTCCAACTTCTTTGTTTTACAGATGGCAAAACAGATAGGCAGGTGAGATGTGCAAGATCGCCCATGTTGGGCTGGGGATTTAGCTCAGCGGCATAAGCGCCTGCCTTCCAAGCAGGCAGTCATGAGTTCGATCCCCGGTACTGATTTAAAAAAAAAAAAAAAAAAAAAAGGTCACACATGTTAGAAGCATAACCAGGATTAGTGTCCTGTCTCCTGACTCCTCACTGTATGCACATTGGGTATAGCAAGGGTACTAGAGGTTGGTGAATAAGACATCATTCCTATCTTTCTTCTCCATGAAGCAAAACTGTTCTTTCCAAGAGAAGCTCAGGGAAGGGGAAAGGTGACCCCTTATCATTAGGAAATTACTTCTGACCTCCCCCAGTGCCTGCAGGAAGAAGCCTACTTTGCCCCAGGATTCCGATACCTAGGAAGAGACCACTCTGCAGCTACTGTGTAATGCACAGGGTTAAAGCTTGCCTTTAGAGCTGGGAACTAGGTTAGACCTCACGTTTCTAGCTCAAGGATCAGATGGTCCCACTTCTACCACCACCTCCACTCTGGCTCTTGTGAATGCTTCTTGGGAACCCCAGGAACCTGAAATGTTCTACATTTTCAAAAAATCCTTGGACTGAGGAGTCAGTTCTTGGGTTCTGATCTCATGTCTGCTATTGAACTGCCAGGTGACCATGGGTGACTAAGAAACTTAATTTCAATAGACCAAGAAGTAGGGCTCAATCTTCTATCTCTGAATCCTTAGACTCTGACTGTCCAGCCCCTGGCTAACAGGACGTGCTGGGGTGTTGGAAGAGTGGGCAATGTGTCTGTGGAGACAGAAGGGGGAAAGGGTTCCTGGCCTAGCTCTAATGGGAATGGAGATCTTTCCCCAGGATACTGCTTTTTTTTTTTTTCTTCTTTGTGATACTGGGGATTGAACTCATGACCTCGAGCTTGCCAGGCAGGCACTTATGCCGCTGAGCTAAATCCCCAGCTCCTTTCTTTGCCTTTCTGCAACCTGCTCCCCCAACCTGTGGGCCTTTAGAGCTCTAAGCCCCAGGGCCCTGCCCCACCCCTGACAGAAAGAGAAGCCCAGGCTTGGGAGGTGCCTCCAACACCACAGCTCTTTGTCTCTCCTTAATGGGATGAGTTTCCGGGTGAGGTCCCCTCCCTTCTCCCTCCCTCATCTCCTGCTCTAGAGCTGAAGGCCTTAAATCTATCGAAACCCCCTGCTAGGGGCTAGGGTCTCAGTCCTTAGGTCTATGTTTGGTGCCAGTGGTCCCTGCAGGACCAGAGAGTGAGTGGTTCTCTGAATCCTGAGCTCTGTCCTTAGCATCAGCTTTCTGACTGAGGTTAGCATCCTAGAAAGGGAGGGGCTCCATACCTGCTTTTTTATTCTTGTTTACAGAAGGGAGCAGGCCCTTTCCTGTAGGACCTACCCAAACCCAGGGAAGCTTTCTTCCCTGCCTGTGTGGCAAGAACTGGGAGAATCCCAGGGAAGCCCTTGGCCCCAGTGCCCTTGGCTCCACCCTAGTGTTTGAAGGGGCCTGGCTGAGAAGACTCCAGCCACAAAAATAATGGTAAGGAGCATAGTATGTCCTGGACCACAGCCCCGGAATCAGTGATTCCCCCAGACAAATGAATGGGGCCAAGCACAGCGAGGAGCAAGGCCAGTGGGTGTGTAGTGGGTGACCATCTTTTTTGGCCACCAAACCATACCCTTGCCCTGGCCACAAAGTCTAAGCAGAGAGGGGGAAGGTGAAGTGGGGCAAGTGAATCAGGAGGGAGGGGAGAGGTGCTTTGGGGTCTAGATCTGGGAGCAGCATGTAAAATAAGAGAAGTTCAGAACAGAGAATCATCCCTACACCTCCCAGCGGTAGGCTGTAGCCAGGGTGCTGGACTCCCTCTCACTGAGCAAGAGACACCTGGGAACTGTGGGCCTCAGCAGCTTTTCCCATGGTTTCGTACCCACCCCCATCCATGTGTCCAGAGAACTGGGGTTGAGACTGTTGAGCTGGGGTGGTGCAAGCTGGCCTTAGAGGTGGGGGAGGGGAGTGGGAGCAGCGTGATGGGTGGGGGGAGGCGAACATCTCGGAGTTTGAGAGAAACCCAACTCTGGGTCTCCCACCCGCAGTGTGGCTGTTGTGGTGACTCAGCGGGGCTCAGACTCTGGCTCCGGGGGGGTTTAGGGGACTTATCTATGCTGGGAGCTGTGTCTGGGCCCGAGCAGGTTGCCTGCAGGCTCATCCTCCCGCATTGTTCTCCTCTCACTCTATGATTGCTGTGCCCCCTCCCCAGACAGTAATCTGCAGTGGGCGCTTTGCCCGGGGTTGGGAAGCTCTCACTAAGCTGGGGGGCTTAGGACAATGGGGGGTAAGCGAGGGAGGTGGATAAAGGCAGCCAGGGAAAGTCTTGTGGTTTTCCAAGTTCTTTAGTTCTCCAAGGCCAAGGTTATAGGGGGGAGGGGGAACCTAAAAAGGCTTTTTGTGTTGTTTATGGCACCTATCCTGGTTGGGGGGCTTTGGTGCTTTCTTTCTATATCTTTCTTACCCCAAACTCGCCTACATTCACAGTTGTGTCCAGTGGATCAGGAGCACAGGGGTAAGGCGAGACAAGAGTTAAACAGGAGAATGAGACCCTAGACAACTCGGACCCCTCCCCTAACCCCCAAGCAGGTGTCCCCCCCCCTTCCCACTAAACCCACACCACACAGCCTTTACCCCAGGCCTGGAGCTGAAGCTGGTTTTTCTGGTGGTGGCAACAGAGCCCTGACAGATTCCCAGGGTGAGGCCTCCTTGGGGGGCCAGAGGTACTAGGGGGCCTAGGGGAGTGGCTGGGGGTGGTGAGAAGGGTGGGAGTCCCTGTAGTGAGAACCAGAGGAGTAAGGGAGAGAGTGCTTTGGTTTTGTTCTGTCGGAGGTTTGGTGGCAATTTCCCATCCCCCTGAGGGCCTGTGACCTCATCTCTGGGTACCTCCACCTGGAGCCTGTGATGAATCTGCCCTGAAGTGTGAGGGTAAGGCGAGGAGGGTGGCCAGGGGCCACATAGGCGAAGGCTCAGAGCCACATACTGACCAAGGGCAGCTGTGACAGATAGACATGCGGAAGCCAAGATAGATGACGTGAAAATATTTACTCTGTGTGCAGAGTTATTCAAGAGAGGCTCGCATGCCATGCTTACAGGGGTGTGAAACGCTCATGTCACAGTGCGTGTGCACACGTTCACACACCAATGTGTGGCTCTTCCCTCTGGGTATAGAAAAGCATGGACAAGGACTCCGTTGAGGATCAGATTTGAACACATATATGTGTGAAACACTGTTCAGTTCATGGAAGAAGGTAGGCTTACATGCACATGAGCTAGAATGAGCAGCAGGCCCTTGACCAAAGATACACACACATTCAGACCCAGAAGACACAAACTTACTCCTTCCTCCTTCTCCCAGGCCCAGCATGAGGATGCCTGTGTGCACCCTATATGTACCAGCAGAGGATGCTGATGGATAAAAGCCCTCATAAAAAAAAGATTTCTTCCACAACAATGCTGCCATGGCTGGGTATCTGCAGGTGCCAGCCTCAGTTTCCTCTTCTGAGGCCAGAGGCCAGAGGCCAGGCCTCACACAGAAAGGAAAGTTGGGACCCAGGTACCCAGGGTGGGGTGCAGCCAGTCAGCCAGCTCCAGGAATGGAGGGCCTGTCTGGGAGCGGGTGGGGTACACAAAGGGCAGGGCCCCAAAGAGGCCCGAGGGGGCCTGGCCAGGGGTGGGGGAGGCTGAGGGCAGGGATCCCGTCTGGCCAGTTGGGCCTGTTCTACCTTGCGCAAGGTGGTGGCGGCTGTGGCTAGGCCTGCTGCTGTGTGGCAGCTTCTGAGTCACCAAGGCTCCTGACCAGCGTCCTGGTGCTCCTGGGAGGAGGGCGGGGAAGGTCAGGAGGAGGAATGCCTAGTAAGTTGGAGTCCACCAGCCTCGACAAGGCTTGCAGAAGAAGGGTCCGTGGGTTTGGCCTCGCCTGGCCATCACACGCCCGTAGGGTGACCTCATCAGGCAGGCAGTGTGTCTCCTGCAGTCTGGTGACATCATCATGCTGACGCCAGGCAGGCTCTGGGTGGGGGAGAGAAGGAGGAGGCAATCCTGGCCTGCCTTGGCCTGGGCTCCTGGGCTCCTGAGTCCATTTAGTCCAAGATGAAGACTCCAGGGCCCAGATTCTCTTTACCGTGCAGCTCAGTGGATGGACTGGAGACAAGTAGACAAGGCTTGAGACAAGAGAATTGTCTTGTCCCTACCAAAGGGACAAGACAAGACAAGACAAGACAAGACAAGACAAGAGTTGTTCCTACCAAACAGTGGATTTAGGGAAATAGGGGCTATAGGGGACGTCCAGGAGGGACTTTCCAGTTTTACTTGGTTCTTCATTCTGAAAAGCTTGGGCTGCTTGTCCTTTGGAGGTGGCGATCTTGAGCTTTTATAAATAGGAACAAGGAGGGTTGGGTAAGACCGTGCTTGGTACCCAATTTCTGCTGTGCCCTAAAGAAAGTATTTTTGGGGAGAATTATGGGTTATTTGTGGTAAAGCAGCACAGGTGACTGCCACACCTAGAGAGAGATGTGTGGAATACCCCATCTAACATTGTTTCCAAAGTGATCTTTGGAAGAATGAGTGTCTTAGTGGGCATGACTGGGACTGCTGTGGGCTGAACAGATATCACTATTTGAAGCAGAGGAATCCCAAGTCCACCCCAACCCTTCTTTGGTAGCCCTGCCCCCTCCGGTGCCAGGAGAAGGTGCCTGGGAGGGGTGCAGGTGGTTAGCTGGACTCCCAGGCTGGGCAGGGTGGGACCAACATTAGCTTAGGCAGGTCAGGGCCCTGGTATCTGGCCCTTCAAGTCTGTCCCGTCCAGTCTGGGCCCTCCCAGATCCCAGCAGCATCCTCCCTCCCTCCACACCTGCTGGTAGCAGGGCATGGGACCCTTCTTTTGTTTGAATGGAACCCTCTGGTCCACTCTGTGCTTCACTTCCTCTCTTCAGGCCTTCCTCCCTCTGTTGTGCTTTCTTCCCTTGTCTGGTTCAGAGGTGCTCCCTTTGGCTGTGAACCCAAAAAGCCACCCTATCCTGCCTCCACCTTGAGGTTGCCATGCCACCGCCCTCCCCACTGGCCTAAACAAGAACTGCTCATTCTTCCTCCATCCATCCTTTCCTTCTGCCCATCTTGCTCACTCATTCCTTTATCATTCATTCATTCATTCAAAAACATTCAACACCAATTACATGGAAGGTATGGAGACCACATTCCACTGAGCATGAAATCAGAAACCATGTTTCCATAAGTGACAGGTGACCCTGTTTCCTCCTTACAGAGCTCTGTCTGGGCAAACAAGAAAACAGCAAGGACCACCTATAGGCTAAAGTTCTGTGGTGCAGTACAAGTAGGTGTACCAGGGACGGGCACCCAAGGCTGCCAGGGGGTGTGGTGGGGGAAGGCTTCCAGAAGGAAGTGATGCCTAAGCAAAGTCTTAAGGTGTGAGTAGGAGTTCTCCAGACAATGATGAGTAGGAGCTACCAGACATAGGGAGGAGGGCATTCCAGGCAGCATACAGTATGAGCAAAGGTCAGGAACAAAGGGGTGTGTGGGGTGCTGGGCAGAGCAGGGACTATAACCCACTGGGGTTGCTGGAGTATGGATCCCAAAGCAGACACTCTTGTCTCTCTAGACCACCATTCCACTCTGACCCAGGCCCTGGCCCCACAGTTCACATTTTACTCCATGATGCCTTTTCTTTCCAGCCCCAAGCTCTGCTCCCTCATCAGTTACCCATCTTGGAAATGCAATTGTCCTTGAGTCTTCACTTTTCCTCATCTCCCTTTCTATAGTCAGCGAGTGGCCAAATCCCTGTCAGATCTCCCCCAGAAACTGTGCCCACCTTTCTGCCCCAGCACCACTGAGCCTGGGCAGGTGCTGCAGCTTCTGGGGAGTGCCCCGTCTTCAGTCAGCCTACTTTCTGCTCCCCACTGTGCGTCTCCACTTGGCTCACACCGCCCAGTGCCTAAGGAAACTGAAGTGACTCTCCGTTTCCTCTTGACCAAATCAATCTCTGATTCTGGCATGGATGGTCCCAGATAATTTGGCCCCACCCAGCCCCAGCCATAGTTTCCATTTCTGCTCAACACACACACACACACACACACACACACACACACACACACACAGAGGCTCACATACCCTGCCTTAGGTTGCGTCCTCTTCTACTTCCTGAACCAGCCACTGGCTCACCTTGATCCTTTTCTGTGAGTGCTTTTCTGGGTCTCTCCCCACCCAGTTCTACTGATGTCAGCACACAATGGCCAGCAACAAACATCACCAAGCACTAAATCAGTACCCACCATTAGGTTTTTTCTCTGTCTGCCTCCATCTGCACCTCTTCCTCCTGTTTAGACCACAGGTCCCAGGAGGGCAGGGACCAGATCCTTATTTGCAGATAAGGTCACATGACCAGTGTCTCTGATTCTGCAATCCCTGAGGGCTTCCTGCAGCCGTTTGTCAGTGTGCACCACAGAACGCTGCTCCTCCTTCCCCAGTTCTCTGATCCTGGCACCCTATGCCGACCTCATCTCTTTAGCTCTGACCAGGGGCCCTTCTGTCTTCAGTGGCTTGCTCATTCCTGCCTCTGACCCTCAGTTCATGCCATTCCTCCCACACGGACTCCCTCCCTGTCCCTGGGAATCCAGTGCTCTCATCCACAAGCCATGAGAAGAATGTTCCAAGGGACAACTGGCATGGCCCCTTTTCTCCCCCTGTACCCAATCCCAGACCCCAGTGGCTCTGCACACTTGCTGAGGCTCCTGGCCACATGTCCTACAAGCATTCAGTTTCATCCCATTGGGAGACTGGGCCTGCCAGGAAAGTTTCTTCCTGGCTTTCCTGTTTCTGCTGGCATCAGTTCTATTTGCCTCAGGACTGTGAGCTGCCTGAGGGCAGAGCTTGGTTTCTGGTCCTGTTATAGTCTTCCATTTTGCAGATAACTCCGGAGTCAATCCTAGGCTGCCTGAGGGTGTGAACCCTCTATAAATCCTGCCTGTGTGGCCTTAGGCAAGCCACTTCCTCTCTCTGGATCTCAGTTTCCTCATCTGTTAAATGGCAATAATAACGCCTACCTCCTGCCAATGTTTTGTGGATCTAATGAGGTAATGAACTGAATGCGCTTTGCAAGCATAAAATGCTCCACTAGTTCCGGCTGGCTTTGCTGTGATTATCATGACGAATGTGGTCCCCCCCTCCCCAGCTCCCCTAATCCTGGCTGCTCCTGTCTGCCCCCTGCAGGCCGATGCCGAGCAGGTGAGCTGGAGACCTCGGACTTGGTGACAGTGGTCCTAGGCCAGGATGCAAACCTCCCCTGCATCTACAGAGGGGACCCCGGCGAGCAGGTGGCCCAGGTGGCGTGGGCTCGGGTGGACGCCAACGAGGGAACCGGAGAGCTGGCGCTGCTGCACTCCAAGTATGGGCTACACGTGAGCTCGGCCTACGAGGGCCGCGTGGAACAACCTCCACCCCCTCGGGACCCACTGGATGGCTCCGTGCTCCTGCGCAACGCCGTGCAAGCGGACGAGGGCGAGTATGAGTGTCGCGTGAGCACCTTTCCCGCCGGCAGCTTCCAGGCACGACTGCGGCTGCGCGTGCTGGGTAAGTGGGGCTGCTGGTCATGGCCTCAGCTGCTGCACCAGGGGCTCAGGATTAGATCGAGGAGGGGAGAAGCTGGAAGCAGGAGGACCTGCGACAGGGACTGCAGAGATAAGTGAGGCAGGGGGCAAAGCAGGAGCCAAAGGTGGGGTCCTGGAGGCGACAGGGAGGACCTCACAACCTATCGTTCCTCGCAGTCCAGGAATTTTCTCCGACTGGCCCTCGCGGCTGGGGAGGAATCCATTTACTAGGGAGTTCTTCCTTCTGCTGACCTGAAATCTCCCTCTGTGTTACTTTTGCCCTCTGGAAAAATCTTGCACGTGCCTTTCAAAAAGTTGAGGACCTTTGTCATATTCCATCTGAATCTGCTCTTCTCCAAGCTACGTGGGTTGTCTCCTGCCACATTTCCACTGAAGGCACTGATTTAAATACTCTTCTGCCATACTGGACTCTATAGCCGCAAAATGTGGGGTGCAGATGTGGACACGAGTCCCAGCCGAGCTGGGGCTACACATGACCAGTGGGGCTTACACAATCTTTAACCTGGACCTTCAGCGAATGTTGTCTGAGATCACAGTTGCCTTTGAAGCCTCTCTTTTGCACTGTGACACCTGTGGTCCACATGGACTTAGGGTTAAGGGAAGTCTTTCCATTCTGTGGTCTGGCTGTTAATATTTTGAAGCTAAAATTAAAGGCCTAAATAGATTCCCTTTATCTGCAAGGAAATTAGTAACATTAGCTTTGAAGTAGAAAAACCTCAAGTGTGATAGATGCTAGGCTTTGTCACCTATGAGCTGATGACCTAGAGCAAGTCATTTTTACTTCCCTGAGCTTTTATTTCTTCACCTGAAAACAGCGATAATAATGCCTACCTCACTGGTTTGTTGACAGAATTAAATGAGATAACATTTGTAAAGTGCTTAACATAATAGCTGGGACATAGTAAGTGCTAAGTAAACAGTGCTATTATTATTACATAGATAATATCTAGTTAGTTTTTTAATTGCTTTATTATTTTTATTTTTTTAAAAAATGCCCCATGCTCATTGTAAAAAAAATTCAAATAATGGGAGGAAATGCAGGCACCTGGAATTCTACCATTTACCTGATGTCTTTTTTAGTGAAATAAGAGAAAGGAAAGGGGACCTACAAACTGACCTCTGTGTCCCTATTTGCAGTGCCTCCTCTGCCCTCACTGAACCCTGGCCCACCCCTGGAAGAGGGCCAGGGCTTGACATTGGCAGCCTCCTGCACAGCTGAGGGCAGCCCGGCCCCTAGCGTGACCTGGGACACAGAGGTCAAAGGCACAACATCCAACCGCGCCTTCAAGCATTCGCGCTCGGCTGCTGTCACATCAGAGTTCCATCTGGTACCTAGTCGCAGCATGAATGGGCAGCCACTTACCTGTGTGGTATCTCACCCTGGCCTGCTCCAGGACCAAAGGATCACCCACACCCTTCAAGTGGCCTGTGAGTTCTTAGATGCTTGGTAGGACGCTGTGTGGGTTTCAGAAAAAAAAAAAAAGTTAGGGAGGCACTGCGAGGCCTTGTACCATGCCAGGATGGCCAGCTGACTCTGCAGGCTATAAGCCTGAGGGTGCTGGCCTGAGGGTATAGAACCTGCAGGCCAATCCCTGGGGGCCTCAGCAAAGTGCTTAGTTCTCCCTGAGCTCAGAGTCCTTTTCTTTTTGCAGTATTGAGGATTGAACCAGGGCCTTTGCACTGAGCTACATACCCAGCCCCTTTTTATTTTTTTATTTAGAGACAAGGTCTTGTTAGGTTACTAAGTTGCTCACATAGGGCTCACAATTGCTAGTCTCCTGCCTCAGCCTCACAGAGTGCTGGAATTACAATTCGGTGCTACCACAGCCAGCCATTGTCCCTATCTTTGCAAACGAGATTGCCTTGCTTCACAGTGTTGTTGGGAAAATCAAATATAAACATGGAATTGAAAACACTTTGCAAAATATACAGTTTAGGGTTTGGAGGCAGACTTGAGACAAGTCCTCATTCTGCTATTTACCAGCTGCTATTTAATCGTTAGGCTTCATTTTCTTCATCAGCAAAATGAGTATAATTATGGCAGCTTTACCAGATTTCGATGGGAATTAGCCACCAAGAATGCAAAGTATCTCATGCGCTGCTAAAGGATAGAAGGCATTCAGGAAATGATAGAACTGTGCTTTTCCAGCATTAGACTTCAAACCTCTGGACAATAAGAGCATTTTCAGCTCACACTACTCTAATGTTGAGCACAAAGCAGGGCTCTCCAGTATGTGTTTATGAAGGGGATGAATTAAACCAGATGTGGTGCTGTAGCCCTGTAAATCTTAGCACTCTGGGAGGCTGAAGCAGGAGGATCACAAGTTGGAGCCCCTCATGGGTAACCAAGTAAGATCTTGTTGTTGTTGTTTTCCTGCAGAGACAGGGTTTCTCTATGTAGTCCAAACTGGTCTTGAGCTCACTGTATAGCCCAGGTTAGTCTGGAACTGACAGCGATCCTCCTGCTTCAGCCTCCTCAGTGGCAGGGTTACAGGTGTGCACCACCATCCCCAACACAAGACCTTGTCTTAAAAAAGACTGAGTGGGAAGGCCCTGGATTTCATCCCTAGCATGGAGAGGCCAGGGGCAAATGAACTAGCAGGGTTGCTAGGCCTTCAAAGAATCCAGCAGTGCTGATGGAGTGTCTGTTCTGTGAGTAGTACTGTGCTAGGCACCACAGGAGAGCCAGCAAAAAGTGTGACGTGGAACTTCTGGGCTCGGGCATAGGTAAATCACTACAGACTGAGCTTGGAGAGGAGAGGGAACCATGTGGCCAGAAGCCATCAGAGAGGTGGGGCCCAGCTAGGTTGGCAGCAGATGAGTTGGCTGTGAAGGGCAGGGGGTAAGGTGGGAGCCCTCCAGGGACCCCCATGGTTAAGGGCCTGTTCTCATTCTTTCTTCTCTCACTTCCCATTGCAGTCCTGGCTGAGGCCTCTGTGCGTGGCCTGGAGGATCAAAAACTGTGGCACGTTGGCAGAGAGGGAGCTATGCTCACGTGCCTGAGTGAGGGGCAGCCGCCTCCCTCATACAACTGGACACGGTAAGGACCTGGGCCTGGGGAAGACCTACTTTGGACGAAGGTCCTTCTCTCTCTGGGGTAGGATGTACTCCTTTGGGCTGGGACCATATATTCTGAACACTACGTAAGTCAGGGCATATGTTTCAGCCAATACAAGAATATGCATGGTAGTGCACACCTGTAATTCCAGCACTCCAGAAGGCTGAGGCAGGAAGATTCCAAGTTCAAACTCAGTATGGGCATCTTAGTGACTTAGTAAGACCCTGTCTAAAAATGAAAAATTTAAAAAAAGACTGGAGATGTAGCTCAGTGCAAAGGCAAAGGTTCAATCCCCAGTGCCAATACAAGTGAAATATCATACAGTGGTAAACATTAACACTGTATATATGTATGAAATGAATGTATAAAGTGAATGAGACAGAAAGCCAGCTGTCTGTAACTGTTATTATACCAGCACTCCTATAAGCACCTCAATGCTGCCAGGACCTCAGAAACAGCTACCAACTTCTGCCAGTTACCTTAAGAGTCCTTGGCTTTTTTCCAGGGCCTGAGACCTCTGGAGAATCAGGAGGGGAAGGTGCACATGTGTGTAAGCCCATGCTAAGCATGTTCTCATGTGTGAGCATATGAGCGATGCATGTGGCCTTGTGCCTGGGGCTAGTTTAGATACCGTGCTATGGGCCATCATTGGTATTAGAGCACATAGCCATATTTTCCAAGAACCTCTGAGCTCAGCTAGGAGTAGAGTGTCCTGTTTTGGGGACCTGGTACCCAGTGATGATGGTGTTATGCCGTGGGAGCCTGTGGGATGGCACGCGTGTCGATCTTCCACGAGTATGTGTGTGGGGTGCCCAGGTCAGGCTGGGCAGCAGAGAGAAGGGGCCCCTGCCTAGACCTGCCTGGGGGAGGGTGGGGCACCGTGGGAACAGCCGGCGGCCCTGGGTGACGTCATGGGCGAGAGGGGTGGAGGGCTGCCTGGGCATGTTGGGTGGTGGCAGCTCGGCCCGCTCCAGCCGGCACCCTTCAGCTTCCCTGTCCTCCAGGCTGGATGGGCCTCTGCCCACTGGGGCACGAGTGGAAGGGGGCATGCTGGGCTTTCCTCCGCTGACCACTGAGCACAGCGGCATCTATGTCTGCCACGTCAGCAATGAGCTTTCCTCCAGGGATTTCCGAGTCACCGTGGATGTTCTTGGTAAGCACAGGGTTGGGGGCCGATGAGCATGGGCCAGGTCTGGGGAGGGGGCAACAGGAACAAGACAGAGAGTGGGAACCGGGGAGGTATTTATTTGCTGGAGGCTGGACGGTGGTGTGTTTTGCAAGGGCCAGCCGAGTGGGTGGTTGTGGGTGTGTTGTATGATGATGGTGGAGGTAGGCAGTGGGTCTGGGGAAGGACGGGGATCTGCGCAGACACCTCAGACATGGCCTGTCTGCAGCAGACCCTGAGGACCCAGGGAAGCAGGTGGACCTGGTGTCGGCCTCGGTGGTGGTGGTGGGTGTGATTGCTGCGCTCCTGTTTTGCCTCCTGGTGGTGGTGGTAGTGCTCATGTCCAGATACCACCGGCGCAAAGCCCAGCAGATGACCCAGAAATAGTGAGTACTGGCTGCTCCTGGGTGGGCAGAGCTGAGCTGGGAACACAAAGAGGGCAATGTGGGCTGGTGGAGGAGGGAGAGGAGACAGGAGAGATGGGTGACGTGACAGTGGGGAGCTTACGGACCACAGGTGGGCAGAGTTTTGCGGGGGAGATGACAGGGGTTTGGGGCCTTGACTAAAGCTGGACGAGGGCAACCACACTGCCTGAGTGAAGATCAGACCTATATGCCTGGTAGCACAGCTGTGCACACACTGCCACTTGCAGGGCTAGCAGGCACCCACACCCTCCCAGCCCTGTTTTGCATAGGCTCAGCCAGGCTAGGCTGAACTTGGAGGCGACTGCTGTCCTCAGTTGACAGGGAGTTGTCTTTCCCAGTGAGGAGGAGCTGACTCTGACCAGGGAGAACTCCATCCGCAGGCTGCATTCCCATCCATCGGACACCAGGAATCAGGTTTGTCTCAAGGCTGGGTGCCTGCGGGGTGTGTGGCCCTGTGGGGGTTTGCTTGTGCCTGGACCTCTCTGCCAACTGACTGGGAGCACAGCCCTGCCCCAGGGGTGGCCGAGACTGGGCTGGGGTCAGGTGGGGTCTGCTAGGACTGTGTATTCCCTTCAGCCCTGGCTTGGGGGCTGCTTTGGGAATCTACTGCCATCTGCCTGGTTGTAGGGTGGGTGTGGGGTGGCAGCAGGGGAGTGAGGATGTTTGTATCAGGGAGAGGATGGACCTGTGGGGTAGGGGGAAAGGTGATTAGGATGAGGGTGGTGGTGGTAGAGAGGTGAAGAGGCGAAGGGAGGAGGCCTTGCTGTGTTCTAACTCCTCCCCCCATGTCCGGGCCCTGCAGCCGGAGGAGAGTGTAGGGCTGAGAGCCGAGGGCCACCCTGATAGTCTCAAGGACAACAGCTCTGTGATGGTGAGGCCCCCCGGCCCCACCGGTACCCCCACCACTCTCCTCAGGCCCCTCTCCTGGCCCCAGATGTGGTGCATCAGCAACCCCCTCACCAGCCCCTTGCACCTCAGCCCTGGCTCAGTGGTCCAACCCCACATCTCTGCTCTGCTTCCTGCTCTACCTCCCTGGCCCTGTGCCCTGGTTCAGGCCCCTGGTCTCTGAGCCCCTGTGCTACCAGCACAACCATTACCCGGAGCCTGACCTCTGACCCTACCGTACCCCAGCGATGATAACCCGGCTGTCCAACTGGCTGCTTTGTTTCCTGAGTTATCCTCTGCTTTTGGTCTTAGAGTGAAGAGCCTGAGGGGCGCAGTTACTCCACGCTGACCACAGTGAGGGAGATCGAAACACAGACGGAACTGCTGTCTCCAGGATCTGGGCGGGGGGAGGAAGAGGAAGACCAAGATGAAGGCATCAAACAGGCCATGAACCATTTTGTTCAAGAGAATGGAACCCTACGAGCCAAGCCCACAGGCAATGGCATCTACATCAATGGGCGAGGGCACCTGGTCTGACCCTGGCCTGCCTCCTCCCCTAGCTCTTCTGCCTATATGGGGGATTCCACTCATCTTGGAGGGAGGCTCCTAAAATGCCCATATTTTTGAGGAAGATGTTCCCTACCCCACTGACTGCTTGACCTTTTCCTCCAACCCTCTGTTCATCGGGAGGGCTCTGTCTGACAGTTGAGTCCCTCCCACCATAAATACAGGTCACTGTGTGTGTGTGTGTGTGTGTGTGTGTGTGTGTGTGTGTATGTGTTCATGTGCTTGAATGCATGCACATTTTTGTTTGTGTGTTCACTGATCATGTGTGCATGTATAGAGTGACTTCCTTTTTTTTTTTTTGGTACTGGGACTCAAACTTGGGGCCTCACACTTGCCAGGCAGGCGCTGTGCTGCTGAGCTATGTCCCCAGTCTATGGAGTGACTTCCATAGTACATGTCCTGCTGCACTGGCTTGTCATCACTTTTAGAGTGAATGGTGGTGTGTGTCACTGGATTCTGGTGATTGTGGGGGAGATGGCTGTCAGGGTTCAGTTTGTGTGTTGTGTGGCTGTATGTGACCTCTGCCTGCAAAGGCAGGTATTTCCTCGGACCCCAGAGCAGTATTAGTGATGCAGAGGTTGGAGGTGAGAGGTGGAGACTGTGGGCCACATCCAGGTGTGCGGGCATAGCTGGAGCTGGGATTTGGCCTCCTAAGTGGGGGAGCCGGGTTCCTACCACTTGAGAGCCACTGGGGGAGTGTGAAGCCACCACCCAAGGGTCCGGCAGGGACTTGAACAGTTACAAAGAAGCCCTCTGCCCTCTGGTGGCCTGTAAGCCTGCTGCATGTACATACTTGGTGTAAAAAACCTTCCTGGGGAGCTTGAAAACTCTGACTCCCTAAGAGCAACAACTTGCAAAACGTTTTATCTGCATTGTTTGTTCCTTGGCTTACTTAAGCAAGGACAGCCTACAAAGGCACTCAGCAGGGCTGGACCTCGCTCAAACCCTTATGCCAGCCCATGGTTGACCCCTGTAGTACTGAGAGGTGCTCCTAAGGCATCTTTATCTTAGGCAGACCCCCTCCAGGGGCCTGACAGCTGTTGGGCCCTGGGACTGTGGGTGTGGTGAGCTCTCTGCTACTGAACCCCTCAACTCTTCCCGTAGCCTCATTTCTCTCTCTCTCTGTTTCTCTTTCTCTCTGCCTCTCTCTTTGGTTGTATCCACTGTTGCTTATGGTCCCTGCAGGAGCTGCTGGGACTTGGTGACAAGTGCTCCTGGTTCAGTGGTGGTGTAGGGAAGAGAAAGCTGACTATGCAGCACGGGAGGGGGGAGTTTGGAGGGGGAAGGAGATGCTGGGTGTCACCTTGCCTTAGCAGGTTCTGGGTCCTTGATTCAGTTTCTGGCAGTTTCTTTGGATAGAGACAGGGCTTAGATGTTTATTTTTATTTGGCCTACCCAAACACACTCAGCCAGAATATTGAGATTTAATACCCAAATCCTGCATGGCCTGAAATCTGCTGGATTTCTAGACTAACGCAGAGGCTCTTGTCTCCTGCTGTCTAGCCAGCCTGGGACTTTGAATGGGAAACTCAAAGGTCTGAGATCCTAGTATGTACATTGTGTGTAAATATGTGCATATTTGTATATAAAATGATATTCTGTTTTTAAATAAACAGATAAAACCTGTTCTGTCTGTTTCCTCTCTTGCTGCCTTTGCCATGTAAGCCCGGAGTGCCATGCTCTGTGTGGGTCTCAAGCAGAGTAGAGCCAGCGTCCTGCAGCTAGGAGGGAAAGGGCAAAGAATTGTTTTCCACAGGCCAAGAACCAATCCCTTGCTGTACAAAGTGTTTTAAATCTTTCATTGTACTGACAACTTCTAATAGCTACGTAAAGTAGACAGCAGTGTACCCTTTTCACAGATGAAGAAACTGAAACTCAGATGAGTTCTAGAATGTCAGAACTGGAAGGACTTAAAGATCATTTGGTTTGCATTCTTTATTTGCTTGTGTGTGGAAACTGAGGCTCATTGAAATACTGTGGCTGTACCAAGGCGACAGGCACATTGGAGGCCACCCACTCCCAGGCAAACCTCTCAGGTCTCCACGTCCGACCTGAGAACTGTGGTCTCTAGAGATGTCAGTCACCTGCTCTCACCCCAGGAACCATCACCACACCCAGGGCTCAGACATCACCTCCCCTTGACCAATGGTTGAGGTCCCAGAAATGGGTGAGGATGTGAGTGTCAACTCCCTCCCCCACCCTGGGCCCTGTGGTTACAAAGATGCTCTAACAGGAAGCGGGTTTGAAGAGCTGCACAGCTTCCTGCTCCCCTAGAGCTGTGCAGGGCCAGAAGGCAAGTGCCTGGCTGGGCCACGAGACTCAGTTTTGTGCTAGGGTCCTGGCAGCTTCCTCTTCCACAGCCACTTCCGTGTGACTGGGGCCCCAGAGGCAGGAGCTGCTCGTTGCCCAGGCCACCCTCCACCCCCAGTTCGGAGCCCTGCCCCCTGGGTCCAGGCCAAGCCCAGTGGCCGGCGGGGATCCCATGGGGGACTGGTAGGGCAAAGGTCTTGGGGGACGGAGGTGGTCAGACCTCAGGCTCTGGGGCTCCGGCCATGAAGTCTCGGCAGAAAGGGAAGAAGAAGGGCAGCTCGAAGGAGCGGGTGTTTGGGTGTGACCTGCAAGAGCACCTGCAGCAGTCAGGCCAGGAGGGTAAGTGGCCATCTCAGGGTGGGTGGGTAGGTGGGTAGCCACTGAGCTTCTCCAGCTCCATCTGATCTGAGGGACAGAAGCAGCATCTAGGTGCTTCTGGGAAAGGGGCAGTAGTCCAGAGTAACCACCAAGAGACCCATGAGGAGGTCCAACAGGAAATGTGACTTAGAAAAAGGCAAATGGTTCCCCAAGTGACTTTCTGGGTATGGAGTGGTTGAGGCGATGGGAAGGTGAACACCAGAGAGCAGTGTGGAGAGCAGATGGGGAGTTTGGAAGCTCAGGAGAGGTGTTGAGACAGCGGGGAGGGTAGAGGGATGAGGGACAGGTGACAGGATCAGGAGAGGAGTAGTTGAAGGCACAGTGGATGGTGCTGGGTTTGAAAGAAAGGCAACAGAAGAAGCCTCCAGCTGCAACCACAAAGTCCTGAGGGTGGCATCTAGGGAAGGAGTGGCATTCTAGCTGAACAAGCATTCAGGGGCAAGGACCAGCTCCCTGTCACCTTGAGGGGCCACAGAGGGTGTGGGATAGTGATGGACTCTTTCTTCAGTTTCTGTGATTCTTCCACGGGAAGGAGACACAGGTGTGTGACAGCTAGCAAAGGGACAGGCTGCTGAACAACACTGGGAGATGAAAGCAATGGCTTCAGGCCCAGCTGGAAGTTGCACAATAGAGTAGGTGCAGGCCATGGATGTGGAGGTCGCCTGGCTCCCTCCCTTCATTACCTTAGAACAGGCTGGGAATCAGCAGGACCGGGGACCACTCTGGGCGTCACCACGGTGTTTGGCATGAAGTAGCCACTCAAAACTGTTTCTAAATTTGGTTTGAAATAGAACCCATGTCTCTGGCTGCCCAGTCCAGCTTGTTTTTGGCATTTTGAGCTCCTTACAGAGGAAGGACACGATTCTTCGCTCTAGTCCACCCCACCCCAATCTGTCATTTCCTCTTTGCCCTCCTTTCTGTGTGGTGGCTGCAGTAGAGGGAGGGAGATGGTGGTTCCCAGATCATTTCCGGCTCTTAGTCCCACCCTTTTGTCCCCAGGCACCTCCTTCCCTTTTCTCCACCCCTAAAGGGCCCCAAGGCAGCAAAGGAAAACCCCAGTCCCCCTGACCGGGGAAGAAGTTTTTGAACAACTGACAGGCAGAGGCTTTCTGTTATTTGGGCAGAGTGAACATGGCATGGCCGGCCATGGGGCAGGGCTTAGGTTTAACAAGGATTCCTCTCTAGAGTGAGATTTCTTAGCTGCAGCACCTCACACTTCACTGGAGATGATTTTCTTCTCTCAGCTCTCTGCAAACTTAGTTCAGCATCTCTTCATTCTGGCGTTGCTCTTTTCTGTGGTTCCAGTGCCCACCCTTCCTTGAAACTGAGGCCAGACAACCCTGACCTCACTGCAGGAACCTCCTGGCTCCACCCACCTTCCCAGCAGTGAAGGTGTGCTGTCCAGAGGGCATACACCTCCCTTGCTGGATTCTGACCCCAGGTGAAACCCAGAGCAGGTGAAAAGCATCCCCAGAACCTCATCTGAGCCCAAGGATGGAGGCATGGATCTTGGGTATCAGAGTGGCAGTGGTAGCTCCTCCCTGCCCCTCTGTTATTCCTGGTACAGAGAGGTGGAAAGCAGAAAGACAAAGGGTGGCTGGTGACACCTTCTGTCTTTAAGCTGAGACCCTGTAGGAAATGAAATAAAAGTCCAGGCCAGGGAGATGTGTTTCTGATTAAATGATCTTTCCTAACAGTCTTGATTTCTCCCCTCCTCATAGCCTGGCTCCATCTCCCGCTGCTCTTTGCCCCAGTGGCTTTTTCTTCTCCAAGCCCTATCTGCATGAGCTCCTCTTTTGCCTAATTTTATTTCTTGGATGCCTTGCTCAGATTTCAAATTCACCAGGTCCTCAATCCTTGGGTCCTCCTGATTCCACTCCCATTTCCTTCCTATTTTCACCCCCTGGTCTCCATCGCTCCAGCCCTGCCTCTAACTGCCTCTCTGACTTCATCTCTGATATCTATCTCCCCAGCGCCCCATCTCTCTCACCTGTTATGTCTTCCCTCATCTCTCGACCCATTTCCTTTCTGGTTCTGACTCCTCATATTCTTGCAGTGCTCTTTAAAGGCCTCCTCTGCAGTTTCAAAATCAAGTGAGGAAAACATGGGGAAGACCTGGTTTGTATGATGCTCCTGTGTGAAAGACTTGGGGGTTTATTTATGAGTTAAGAGTAATGCAATGGCCCAGAGAAATGGTGTCTCATCAGGGACCCAAGGGAGAGCACAGCTCCAACAGGGAGGGCCTCCTCAGCTCTGCATTCAGTGCTGAGAACCCAGGAGCAGGGAAGCCTGGCAGATGGGAGCAGGTCCTGAGAATACACACAGTGAACCATGAGGCTATGAGGCTGAGGCAAGAGAGGTGATGAGGGTACAGTTTAAGTTATTGACTTATTTTCGAGACTATGAGTTTCACCAGCTAGTTCAGGCTGGCCTTAAACTCACTATGTAGTTCGGACTGGCTTTGAACTTGCAGTGATCCTCCTGCATCAGCCTCCAGAGTGCTGGAATTACAGGTAGGAGCCAGTGAGTCTGGCCAAGGGTGCAATATTTGAAGAAGTACTCTTTCAGTTTCAGCCAGTGTTAGATGGCTCTTCCCTGCCCCCCTATTGTCCAGTCCACTTTTATTTTAAGACAGTTGCATGGGCTGGGCTCATGCCTCCTGCCTCCTGCCTGGCTAGGTAGCTCATTCTTATTTGTTTATTTTTTGTTTTAGATAAGGTGTTGCTATGTACTTCAGGTTAGCCTTGATCTCCCTGTATAACCCAAGCTGGTCTTAATTTCATGGAGATTCTCCTGCCTCAGCCTTCTGAGTGCTGGGTTTATAGGCCTGCACTCCTGGCTATGACTAAGTGGATCATTCTGAAACATGGTCTCAGTCTCAGGACTGTGCATGTTCACTGTTAGCATTTGCACAGTCCTGAGAGTGGAGATTTCTTTTCTTTCTTAAATTTTACACTCTAGATGCCTCTCTTATCTCACCCAAGTCCTGGTTGGGTGAGCAGAAAAGCAAAGGGTTTCAAAAACAGGTCATTGAAAGATACTGACTGATGGATTCATGGATGGTTTCTTTTGTTCTGTATAACTATATTTGTCCCATAAAGAGTTTGGCATGACTTCCACATGCAGAATAAATGAGTGAAGGTTTTGGATTGAAGGGAAAGCAGGAAGATCAGTCCCAGAAACACATGTCAGGCGGTTGCATCTGGTTCCTATGGGTGGGCTTTGAGCTTCTTAGTGGTTAAAGAGGTAAACACAATCATACAAGACTCGTAAGGCCCATAAGAGGAAAGAACAGGTGGATGAAGAGAAACACAGCTTTTTGGCACTGACATATTAGAGAGATTTCTCTGGTGAGTCCTTTAAAATCCAATATTTTGTTTTGTTGTTTTTTAAGATAGGGTCACGCTATGTAGCTCAGGCTAGCCTTAAACTGATGATGGTGATCCTGCCTCAGCCTCCTGAGTGCTGGGAGAAGGATCCAGTATTTTATCATAAGGAGTATTCTAAATGAAATCTCCAAGGGATATCAGTGATTCTTACAACTGATGGTTTAATCCCCTGAGCTGTTCAACAAACATTTGTTGAATACTACATCTATGCTAGATGCTGGCAAGATGTTATGGATGTTGGGAGATATAGATACAAAAAAAATACTAACAGTACAACAGATACTGTGATATGGATACAAAAGGACGGTGGGATCTAAAATATACCTAAGCAAAGGACTCAGAACTGGAGGCTGTTTATTATTTTATACAAAGGACTGAAGCCAGGTCCTTGATCATGGTCCATATGTTTTCCATCCAGGAGCTACATCCCCAGCTCCTGGGGGGAGGGGGGAACAGGACGATGTTTTGTGTTGTGGTGCTGAAGGTCAAACCCAGCACCTCATACTTCTAGGGAAGTACTCTACCGCTGAGCTACATCCCCGGATCTAT